ATCCTTTTTTTTTTTTTTTTTTGAGAGGTTTTTGCTTTAGGGCACATGAGCTTGCCAGAAAGACAGAGAGAGGCAGAGAGGAAGAAAGCAAGAAATCATCCTCCAGGGGGGATGGCCACATCGCAATCCCTTCTCCTCCATTCTCCTCTCGGGATCTTGGGCACGCACGCACATGCGCCTGGTGTGAGTTTAAGCCACCGAGTCTGGGACTTTAACCATGGTAGACTACATAGGAGTCCAGCGACATAGCCATTATGCCAACTGCTGGTCCCTCTATTCCATTTTCTACCAGTCATCGGTAGTACATAAAAAGCCACTATATACAGTGATAGTATCATCCTGTAACTTTATTAATTCACTTATAAGTTTAGGTATAGTTTTTAAATTATTGTTTTGTAGCAATACTTCCTTTTGCTTTTAGGTTTGGTATAGGGCATGTGTGTTTCTCAGAGACAGCGGAAGAGAAGGAAAGTGAGAGAGTAACCCCTAGGGAAGATGGCCATGCTGAAATCATTCTCCTCTCTGGATTTGGGGCACACATGCACATGTACTCAGTGTGTTTTTGCTTTTCAAGCCGCTGGGTCCAGGATTCGAACCATGTGGTTGCTCAGGTAGGATCCAGTGCCTAACCACCACACAACCCACTGACCCTTAATTTCTGTCAACAATGCTACACTACGATTTCTAGCCATTTTATTACGCTCATCTGCCTCACTGTTAATCTATTTTTAAGCTCTTCTGAAGTCTTTGAAATAATTTTCATGACTAAAAATGTCTTAAGCATCTTAGATTTCTGCCAATATTTTTTATTCTCCTACACCATCACCAACACCAGGACGCCTAGTTCAAACATCTCCCAACTCAAGGTCTATATTAGCCTCACCACTTGTTTCCTGCATTGATTCTTGGTCCCTTTTCAATTTAATTGCCATGGTATAGATATAATGACTCTCTCTTTCTCTCTCCCCCTGTTTCTCTCTCTCCCTATGGATATATACGTGTATGTATATGGAATTTTACATATACATAATTATTACATATTAATCTATATGCACACTCGTACACGTCCACACACACAAGATTAGATTACTCCGAGCTCAAAACGCTTCAGTCAGTCCCCCAGGATCCTGAAGCAAGTCCAAACACCCACAAGGCTAACACAAAGCTGATACTGCCTGCTGCAACCTCATCCCTGCACCCGCTGCAACCTCATCCCTGCACCCGCTGCACCCATGGGGAAAGCACCTGCGCTCCCACCGCACTTCCTGTGCACACGTTCCTGTGAATAGAACACGCTTTCCCTCCATCCTCCCGTTCACTTCTACTGATCTCCTCGATCTTAGCTTCCACACCGAATTCTCGGGGGACACTTCACTGATACTCAGTCCTTCACCCCAGCCCCAATTCTTTTTTTTTTTTTTTTGAGATGTTTTTACTACAGGGTGCGTGCGCTTGCCAGACAGACAGAGAGAGACAGAGAGATAGAAAGCGAGAAATCACCCCCCAGGG